CTGTAGGACAGTGAGTTGATTTAGACTTGGTCCCAGTATCCATGGAACTCAACTTCCAGGAAAGGGCACAAGCGATCAGTGCGTGGCGATATGAAAAGATACCTTGCCCTTTGCGGTAGTCCATGGTTACCGATTGCGGAATAGCAACCACATTCGACTAGTCTCGAGACTTTATTCAACAACTCCGCACGGATCGCATCGAACGATCGGCCGTGGTCACTGAACTGATAACTAAGTACGTATACCTTTCTGCCTTATGTCTTCTGCCTTAATGCTCGAATTCGGATACCCCTCGTGCGTGCAATACTTTATCATTAATCATGTGAAGAGGAAAACCCTTATTAATATTGCCCTCGAGTATCTCGAGCTTCTAATTGGTATTACACTGTAGCTCCTCCGTTTTCTCCTCCATTTTCTCCTCCATTGATTGGCAAAAATGTTCCTCCTGTCGTTCCGCAAAACAATTGGGTACTCTCGATTGCTTTTTGTACTTTCTTATTTCGATAGACACGACTGCTTGGAGAGCTTGCATGAGCCAACAGACAGGTGTCCCAATAAATAGGCACCATCGTGTAGGCATTCTGCATGTATCGTGTTTGTATCTCGTATTTGATTATGATCTACAACCAGCTACATGATTCGGGGAACAATCTGTCACAAAACTGGCTAGTCTGTTTCTGCCATGAGCAGCATTATCATGGCCGCTTCAAAACGTACTTGCAATTTGGTTCTTCTGATTCGAAGAATTTCAGCTTCGTGTTCAGTGTACAAAGATAGACTCTGTGCGGCCAATGCCATGTCAATATTGATTCTGTCCACTGTCCCGCGTGTCGTTTCCTGCTGGAGATGTGGTCCCATATTCCCTTCCTTCCTTAGGTCTCTGACGAAGCCCACCAGAAACAATCTCTTGACTTCCCATCGTTTTATTTGAAATGCTGTCGCCGCCATCAGGAGAAGAGCGAAGTACTGTCACGCCCAGTTCCACCGGTGGGCCACCAATGCCGAGTAGTTCTAAACAAATTCCTGGTGAAGAGAATGGTCCCTTATTAGACAATCTATCTGTGGAAAATGTTACGAAGACGCTATTACGATCTATAGTAGGTAGTAGCACTGGGTGGGTTGACCTTTGGGTTTTTCCTAACCTCAGCTAAAGGTAATGCTGTAGCAGATGTGAATCTCATGCAAGTGGACCGATGCCAGGTAGTTCTAAGCAAACTCCTGGCAAAGAGAATGCTCCTCTGTTAGGTGATATGATGGCTGTGGAAAATGTTACGAACACATTGCTACGATCAATAGTAGGGAGTGGCACTATTGAGTGGGTTTTTTTTCTTGTCAGTGCGCGGTGAATTATCAGGATTGCTAATGATAGGCTGCAACAGATTTGACTCTCAAGTTACAACTGCCACTGGTTCGATATCCACTGGCGCTTTGACTTCTCAGTTCTATAATCGACCAGAAACTTCCCGTTCAATCTCCAGTGGCTCCCAGTCCAGTTGGATTAAGGATTATGGGGCGATATCGGAAAGGAGTATTGGGATTGCCTATAAAATATTGAAAGACGGAAGTGAGGGTAATGAAGGTGTAGCTGTCAATATCTTAGGAAGTGGAATAAAGCTGGCGGAGACTGCTTTGACTTGGCCATTCGAGCTGTTTAATTTGGTCAGAAATTCGGTAGGCCAAAACCATCGAATTTCAATTATGCGGTTTGGCTGACGACTCGTACAGGCCCCGTTGATCGTGGGATTCCTCTTACAACATTCTCTTACTCTTGCCTCAGTGGTGAGTATGGCAAGGCAGTTCAGAAATCTATTATGGAAGATATTGATTAGTAGGCAGTTTTCTGCGGGACAGCTTGGTAAAGCTGAGCTGGCAGCGGTTTCTTTGGCTACTATGACCGCCAATTTAACGGTATCATTCCCTTATAATTTCGGCCTAACTTTATACGCTAATCAGACCAATAGGGTTATGCATTGTATCAAGGCCTCGCAGCAGCGCTGGAAACACTTTGCGCTCAGTCCTATGGTACAGGCCAATACGCACAAGTTGGGCTTCATTTCCAACGCTGCGTGATCTTATTGATGCTCACCTCGGTTCCGGTTGGTTTCATCTGGATGTCCTCGCCCTCCATTCTCGGACTCATCGTTCAAGAACAGAAAGTTGTAGACCTTGCTGGGGGTTATTTGCGAATATTATTTTTGGGAGCCCCGGGGTATGCCCTTTTCGAGGCTGGAAAGAGATATATGCAAGCACAAGGAATTTCTCATGCATCAACTGCCGTTTTGGCTTTTCTTGCCCCGCTCAATGGATTCATGAATTTTGCACTCGTCTGGGGCGAGTTCCTTGGTTTAGGATTTGGTTTCTATGGTGTTCCTATTTCAGTGGTGATTACCAACTGGCTGATGCCATTATGCCTTGCATACTATGCAATATTCATAGAAGGCAACAAATGCTGGCATCCTCTAACACTGCGTGTCTTCACGAACTGGGGACCCATTTTGTCTCTTGCTCTACCTGGGATAGCCATGCTTTGGTCTGAGTTCATATCTGTCGAATTGCTGACCCTATTTTCTAGTTATTTCGGTACCTCAACAATGGCGGCTCAGTCGATCCTGGCAACTATCATGAGTTTCATATACCAACTTCCTTTTGGGATGTCCATTTCTTCTTGCGCTGCTGTTTCTCAGTACATTGGTGCCGGAAACATCACCTCTGCTCGCCGCTCTGCTTATGTAGCAATGGCAATTGCCATTGTTTTTGGAGTCATCGACTGTATTGTTCTCATTGCCGTACGGGAGCACGCTGGAAAGATATTTTCCCGAGACAAGCAAGTTATTGCTTGCGTGGCGGAGGCGTTGCCAGTTTGTGCTGCCTTCCAAGTGGTTGACGTGCTTGCCAATGTGACAGGGGGGATATTGAAGGGTCAGGGGAGACAGCGTATTGCTAGAATGGTCCAAGTTCCAGCATATTATGGACTGGCAATACCGGTCAGTCTGTATACAAGTTTCAACCTTGGATGGGGTATCCGGGGATTGTGGGCAGGATGTGCCTGTGCTTTGGTAGTTATTGCTATGGTGCAGACTGCAGCAGTGTTATTTTGCGACTGGGAGAAGGTGGTGAGAGGAGCGGGAGATCGGGTGGTGGATGGAGATGCAGCGGGAGTTCAGGAGGATTTGGAATATGGAGTCAGGGAAAGGCTTTTTGGTTTCGGCAGAGGGTAGAAAGGAATATGCGAGTATTTTCAGGAGCAATCGAAGGCCTCGTGGCAAGGACATAATTGGTATTGTCTAACATCATGGTATTTCCTTATATTTCTTCCTTATTATAATGGAGGAAGCTGAATAAATATACAGGCTACTATGAACAGCACGTGAGACCTATAAAGGCCTAGGCTGAGACGAGTAATGTATGATGATGATGATGATGATGATGATGATGATGATGATGATGATGATGATGATGATGATGATGGGAATTATGAATATCATAAGGCATATTAGAGTGTTTTTAGAAAGAAAGTGGTCATCATCTGTGAGGCTTTTCTACTGTGGATCATGTTTGGTGTTCTGTTTCACCCCACATGAACAATGACTTGGCGTGACCCCCTGCCCAGCAAGCAGTTAAGCTTATTGTCCTACCGTTCAACGCCTGGTACTCCGCAACCTCTGGCTGCAATTCCAATACCTACCGGCATACAGCTCTTGTGCACCTCTCCAGCATGCCTAAGCCACTAAACTCAGACTACGCGTTTCGTCGGCAGAATTTGTTGATCGAGTTGTTCGTGCCGCCCCGACTCCATCAGTTTCATCAGTGGCTGGAGTGCTAACATCACCATTTGCCAACAACAGCGCAAGTCTCAAATATGCCTCTCCGCAGGGGATATATATGTCCTTATCTCCACAAGAGCCTAGATTATGGTGGGGAGTTATGTTTGTTCGGAAAGGTTCTTAGCGAGCTGCACTACCTCATCTATCCAGGACTAATGTCGAGTTGATTAGGACCATATGCCTCTGCTATTCTGAAGTTCACAGTTCTATTCCCAACGAGCTACCCCGCAGACCCACCCATACTAACCTTTCTGTCCGACATCTACCACCCGCTTATCGTTCCTCCGACTCCTCCTCCCCTCTCCTCTTCGTCAACTCACTCTAGCCCCGGAATGTCACAGCCTCAACCCCCAGCAGCGCACATCAACTACAATCAGAATATTTCGAATCTTCCCCCCGGCTCGTTCACCCTAAAGCATGGTTTCCCAAATTGGTGTTCTACTCCATCTCCAAGGGCCACCTCATCTCCCGACAGCAAAAGGCTTCCTCCTAATCCTCCCGTTGCACCACTAGAGTCTTCCTTGAGCTCAACACCATGGAACCACGCGGCCTCCCCTGAAAAGGAGAAGAATATTCTCCAGGTTCTATACTACCTGAAGTCTGTATTTTCGTCAGTGTCAGTTCTAGACGATATCCCACCACACCTAGCAGCTAATCTGGGTGCATTGCGGGCATGGAGAAGTTTCCGGGAAACAAGCAATATTGGTGGTAAAGAAGAAGGCCAGAGGGTATGGCTAGAGAGGGTCAATGGCTGTGTTGCCGGAAGTCAAACTGATGGTGTATTATATGGCGGGATGGGAGTTGGTCGAGGTGGGGGTGGATTGGGGAATGAAGAGATAGTGAGTTGCTTTGCCCAGAAATCATTCTTTGCTATTAAATTTTGACTAAATTTCAACCTACATAAAGATGCGTTTTTTGGACATTGATGACGATGCGTATGAAAGTATCAAGGAGATGATTGCAGGCAGAGGAAGTACATAATAGTGGCCTTGACATAAGCCGCTTGAGCTAAATTTTGGCACTCATAACTATTAGACTACGTCGGTTTTTGCGCATCGGGAAACTTTGGTTTTTCGCGCATTAATTAACTCAGAGGGACGTATAGATATTATTCCTGTATAGCTTCTTTATCTTTTTATGTTTATATTTTTAACCCACTCGTCAATGCAAAGCTTAGGTTCTATGGCGCAATTGGTTAGCGCGTCCGGCTGTTACACGAACGCAGTTCATGCAGCATTACCGGGAGGTTGAAAGTTCGAGTCTTTCTAGTACCGCACCTATCTTTTGCACTTTTGGAGTACCTACCGCATTATCTGGCAAATAAGATCCCTGGCCACGCTAAAGTGAGCAACTGTGCCAGAATACGATGTCTAAGACACCGATTGCAGCAACAGAACAGAACACGTACGAGTAGCAACGCAGTTGAATATCTACAATTCACGTCACTAATAATTCCACATGTCTACCAGTATCGCAAGACTCGAACGCAGTCTAGGGCCCACATCAAAGCGGGTGGCTCTACTCCCTCGAAGCTTGAACTTACTGAACCAACAAACGTTGTCCAGCATGCCGAGAAAAACGCGGAAATCATATACCCGAGAGGACTCATGGCATTATCAATGCTGCAAGAAACTCGAGTGGATGAAAATGGTGTTGTACGCGTAACTAGGCAATCTGCAGTGACAACTAAGAGCTCCGAGAATAGTCGAAACAAAAGACTAAAATTGTTGCATCTACTAAAGGTGCTTGGAAGGTAGAAAAGGCAGGAAAGGTAAAGTGGAAGAAGAAGGAAAAGGAGTTATATAATAGATTTTTGGTAGTTCAAGAAATAGGCAGACCAGTAAGACATATCTATAATCTTCTATAGTTAATATAAATTAAAAATAATAACTCAATTGGAAAAATAATATTATTATTATTATTATACTATTCAAGTTTTTTTTTCAATTCTACTACTTATAGTAATAAAACTATTATATTAGAGTAGATTAGAACTAATATTTACTTTATTATTTTACTTTTTAATTGTTTCTAACTAAAATAACTTGTAATAATACTAGATATTTTTAGTAGACAAACTATAATACTATGTAATAACTTTTATAAGCTTTCTATATTATACTAATATATATTCTAGATAAAATATATAAGATATATATAATCTTTTATTTTAAATAAACTTTTTAAAAATAAAGTAATAGACTATCTAGATAATATTATTAAGAATATACAAGTGAAGGTATAAGAGGCTGGAAATAGACTATAATAATAGTATAGAAGCTCAATATATTTCTACTACTTATGTAGTAGGACAAGCTTGGAAGTGCCTACATCATGAGAAATACCAGAGTATTATTAAGTCATTTGAGCAGACTGGTATTTCTTTACCTCCAGATGGAAGCCAGGACCATAAACTACATATTTATGGGCTTCCTTAGCAATGAAGCGGAAGACACACTTGAATTTCAATAGCGGGTAATCCTGTTCCTCCTAGTAGTGATCTAAATAGAATAGTATTAGTTCTCTATGTACATAGCAACCGATATACCTGGTTCTTTTAGCGTAGCCAGAGATCTTATTTGCTAGATAATGGGGTAGCAGATACTCAACTTTACAACAATCGATATCCTTAGTATTCGTGACAAAGGCTTGTAATAAACTAACATTAAACCTTAATATATGCATTGATAAACTTGCTAAATACAGACTTGCTATTTTCTCTGTTTGAGTGACATCAATATATAATTACGAGATGGAGGAGTTGGTTGGATAAAATTCTAGGGGCAAATAAAAATGTAATTCAGTTATCTGAGATGAGGCCTAGCTTGAGGAGTTTACGAGTTGTTTTATATCATGAGAGAATTATCGTGATCTTGAGTCGGTCATCCTCGCTGCCCGAACATAGCCTTTCCAGATTCAACCGGGCCTCGGGGCTGGGCCGTGAGATGGCCCTTTCGAGCTCAGAATTGAGGGCATCCTCGATATTTTCGAATTTGGAATCATCATCATATATCTAGCTCGAGCTCAAGTCCGGCATCGAGGATAATTACTAGTAGTTAACATAGTGCCGCAACTAGTGAAAGGTTGAAAGAAAAGACATATCATGATGCACTGGGGGGTAGTCTAGTGCTCTTCGTGGTGGATATTTTGTGAAATTAGAGGATTCCAATAGTGCTTCAAGATACGATGGAACTCTAGGTAAGGTTCGTTAAAGTTCTCCATGTGTGGGAGTGGAGGCTGGCGTCGTGAGATATGAGTGGCCGTTGAACCGGATATTCACGGCAGAAGAGGCTGTGGATCCTGGGGCCGTAGAAAGTGAAGGCAGGAAGCCGAAGTGAGAAAGGTTCTATTCTTGATATTGGGACACAGGGCTAGTAATATGCCGAGGGACCTATTGAGAAAAATATTTAAAGTTGTAGGGGAAAAGTTCTCCTTAACTAGACCTACCTGATTCTCGCTGCCACGGTTCCTGTTATCAGGATATCCATAGCCTTCAACTTCAGTTAAGGAGACTTCACACAATGAAAAAGAGAGAGAGAGTAGATAGATGCTTGCATGAATGTATATTTATGTGCAGCAGTAGGGAACTATATGATTCAGACAAGAAAATACAGCGACTATATATACACGAGTTCAATATCCATCACGAGCATGTTGCGGTCATGGCTTCATGTGGTAGCACGCACATGGAAGAGCTTTAGCGGCCCAGTTTTCTCAACGGGCCGGCCTGGACCGCCTGGAACGGCCTGGACCGCCTGGAACGGCCTGGACCGCCTGGGCAAAATTTACATGAGTATTGTTCTGTTCCGTTCAGCAATCACGACGATTGCCCAATCGTTGCATATTGCTGAACCGTTCGAACTATCTACCAATGCATACGAATCAGCCTTGGGCCGCATTGCCGGGACTCAACAGGTGGCAACAGCAGCAGGTATCCAGACAGCAGCCAAGGCCAGGCGGAAGGACATGCGATCGGAACCAGGGTACGGATCCAACAGGTGCCTATGGCACCGACACGCCCTATCGGCCTACACCTGGCTGCGCACCAACCGGGCCCCCCAGAACTACTGGCTCCACTTCATACGCAAGGTCGACTCCCCAGCCTGCCCCAACTGCGATCACCCCTCGGAGGACGGCTACCATATCACCTTCGATTGCCCCCACCACCACCAGCAACGCCAGGAGTTCATCGGAGATGCCAGGACTTGGGAAGACTTGGACACTCCAATCTGGAGGAAAGAAGAGGGGGAGGAGGAGGAGTGGGACGCAGTAGAGGCGTACTTCGCCTACCTCTACCGCCCCCTCGCCGGACGTTAGGAAAGTGCGCATATTTGATATTTACTGCGTTGCTTTATGTTATTCGCTTGTGTCGTTTTGATCGTGTACGTAGCTTGCCCAGGGCGTCAGATTAACTTGGCTGTCCCTTGAATCCACCCGGGTTTCCGGGTGGCTCGTCATACGACCCTTAAGGTTGTGCATACGAGTACTACTGAGTTAAAAAAAAAAAAAAAAAAAAAAAAAAAACTATCTACCAATCGTGCACAGATTACCAATCTGTAGTAGTCTGCTGATTTTGGTGCGTTGCAACCCAACTCAAGTTGAGTTATCCATCGGGTAGGCCATGAGATTTTGGTGCATTGCAACGCAACTAAAGTTGCGCCTGGACCGCTTGGACCGGCCTGCATAGCCTGGACTGGCCTGCATAGCCTGGACCGGCCTGCATAGCCTGGACTGGCCTGCATAGCCTAGACCAGCCTGCACAGCCTGGACCGGCCTGCATAGCCTGGACCGGCCTGCATAGCCTGGACCGGCCTGCATAGCCTGGACCGGCCTGCATAGCCTGGACCGGCCTGCATAGCCTGGACCGGCCTGCATAGCCTGGACCGGCCTGCATAGCCTGGACCGGCCTGCATAGCCTGGACCGGCCTGCATAGCCTGGACCGGCCTGCATAGCCTGGACCGGCCTGCATAGCCTGGACCGGCCTGCATAGCCTGGACCGGCCTGCATAGCCTGGACCGGCCTGCATAGCCTGGACCGGCCTGCATAGCCTGGACCGGCCTGCATAGCCTGGACCGGCCTGCATAGCCTGGACCGGCCTGCATAGCCTGGACCGGCCTGCGTGGCCTAGAGGCCGGCCCAGACCACCACATACTCCGCCGGGGCCGGTCCAGGCTGTTTCAGGCCTCCGGCGGCCTGAGGGCGGCCTTGGCCCGTTGCGACCACTGCTTTAGCCGAAAGGTTGAGTCGGTAACTAGGCGACTACACTAGCAGGCAGGGTATGGGCTGGTAAAGAATGCGGCACGCACAATCTGTTCAACACCCCCCCTCAGCACATACCGTGTCTATCTGTGAATAGCAGAGGCAGCTTCATTAAAAAACCTTCTGAAAACCCACTGGTGGGAAAAAAAGATAGGTAAAAGAGTACATCTCTTACCAAGGACAAGTTCTCTTAGTGTGGATAATCTCGGAGCAGGCAGTGGTTTTGTACACAATGCAACTATAGGGCCCGGGGTCATGATCAGGTAGGCACGGCTGTACAGCAGTAAGAGAGAAAACTCATGATCTGTTCATAATCAACCGGCACTTGAGCTATTATATAAATAACTAGTGGAACCGGTGTGACAGGTTTTTGATGCTCTGGAATCTGGGTGCATCTAAGCCTAAGGATTGGGCGGCTAGTCCTTTCCGTTCGACGCCCAACCCGGGCGCCTCGCACGCGCCAGCCTGTTGAGAAAAGCGTAAGAGGTTTTTGAGTAGTCCGTCGAGGTATTGGATTCTGATGAACATTGATGCATCTTGAGGTAAATATGAGGTATCAGTGCCCTCAGCGCATTCCATGGATGAATTGGATTTGAGGGATAACGTTCGTCTGTTTGACAGGGCTAGGTTTGTAAAGATGGAGTATGTAGTCTCGGCGCCTAACTCTCGAGCTTGGCACTTGGGTAAGGGGGCAGTGCGGGGTATCAAAGCAGACCAGAGGATGTCATGTGGACATTTGTGACATGTGGCAAAGCCCTATGCCCTAAGTGGCCGCCCACTTCGAATTCAGTCTCTTGACGCGTGACAGATGCCCTGGCGGTGGCCACATAAATAGTATCAGACAAAATGCTGAGATCTTGGCCTATCAGATTCAGACTGAATTACTAAGAAGCAAAAATTCAACACGCACAGAGTGTAGGGTTATTACTGGTGCAGGTGTTGATGTATTCAACATGGTTGGGTAGTGGTAAGTGTGAGGAAAGAAAAGAATAAGAGCAAAGATGGCAGGCCAAA